ACCGGAGATAGACGAAGCTTATGAAGAAATGATAGCAGGGAACTTGCGGAGGATGCGCTTCGCCGGAAGCGGTGATGAAACAAGCTTCTTTTCCGCCACCACCAACGGAACTTCCTCCGAACCTTGAAGGATTATGAAATTTATTAGAGATTACTATGTAGATTATGGTGTAACTTGTACTTTGGCACTCTTCTTTAGTTTTTTTTCTTTTTTAATGGTGGTTTTAGCACCTTGTTTTGCTTATTCCATTGGGGAGGGAAGACTAAAAAAGATATATTGCCATTTTTGTTAATGTCGTAATAATAAAAATTATTAAGACATTCCCTTGAATATCTCTTTGCAATTTTTTTTGTGTTTAATTTTGACTCTTTAGAAGATTTAACTTACCAATTCTTATATAAGCTATAATATATTTACAAGAATTAATTAAGGCAATATATATACATAACATACTATATATACACATAAATATACATAATATATATATATATTATATATATATATATATATATATATATATATAATATATATATATATATATATATTGTGACGACCCAAAGGGTCACCTGTTTTTCTTTCATTCCGTGCTTTCGAGGCCTTGAAAACTCATTTTTACTTGCCTCGATTTGCCGTGCGCAGTCTCGGGCGCATAGCCGGAAAGCTTAAATATGAATTTGTGTAAAAAATTGATGAATTTTTATATTAATATGATTAAAGTTGACTTTGGTCAACATTTTGGATTTAAATGGACCAGGTCCGTAGAAAAAATGGGACTCGGGCGTAAGCCCGGAATCGAAATCCGAGGTCCCGAGCCCGAGAATGAATTCTTAAAAGAAATTGTTTCTAGAATTTAAGATGGAAATTTGAAATGAAAAATGGATTAGAAAGTATTGGTATCGGGCCCGTAATTTTGGTTCTGGCGCCCAGTAACAGGTCTTATATGTGGTTTAAGCGCTTCCTGTGAAATTTGGTCGAAATCGAACGTCGTTTGACGTGTTTCACGACCTAAATATCAAAAAATGAAGGTTTATTGAAGTTTGATGAAAAAGTTATGATTTTGAGGTTTGATTCCTCGTTTTTATGTTATTTGGCGAATTTGATCGCACGGTTAAGTTCGTAGGGTGTTGTTGAGTTAGTGTACATGTTTGGTTAGGAGCCCCGAGTGCTCGGAAGTGTTTTTTGGGGGTGTTCGGGTGTGGGACTAGAGAAAAATTGCAGAAAATCACTGCTGCCTGCACCAGTTCTGGTGTAACCGCACCTGCGGTCCTTTGGCCGCAGATGCGGACTCGCAGGTGCGGTCTCCTTCGCAGATGCGTGTAATGACCCGACTGGTCGTTTTGCATTTCCAAACCCTTTCCCTTAAATAATACTTTCCACACTTGCTTTAGCTAATTTATGACTTGTGGGGACGGGGTGGTTCTGGAAGTTAGAAGAGTTTGGAGCAAGAATAAGCCTAGTTGCTTCTTTAAGTTTCTTTAAAAAGGGCAAGTTTGACTTCGGTCTACATTTTCGGGAAACAGACCAGAATCGTATGGCAATTTTGAGGGTCGCGGGAAAATATGGGACCTGGGCATATGCCCGGAATCGAATTCCGAGGTCCCTAGCCCAAGTAATGAATTTTTTCGTGAAATTGTTAAGTTAAAGTTTCAAAGATTTAAATAAACTAAGAAATCATTGTTTTCATAGGTATCGGGTTCGGATTTCGATTCCGAAACTTGGTACAAGTCCGAAATATCAGTTAAGACCTACCCGTAAAATTTGGTGTCCATCCGAGTAGTTTAAGGGCGTTTTGACCCGTTGAAGGAGAATTAAGAACTTGAAGTTCAATGAATTGATTCATTTGGTTTTGGGGGTTGATTCCTCGATTTAGCGTTATTTTGAGTGTTTCGAGGGTTCGAGTAGGTCCGCCTCGTGATTTCAGACTTGTCGGTATGTTCGCGCGGGGCTCGGGAGCCCCGAGCGTCAAATGGTCGAGGTTCGAGTGAAGTTGAAAACTTAGGAAAAAGCCTTATCTGCTGCTTCTGTCATAACCGCTTCTGCGGCTCTTGGACCGCAGAAGCGGTCGTTTATCGCAGAAGCGGAAGGGGCCAGGCCCAGGGGAAACCGCAGGAGCAGACCCCTGACCGCAGAAGCGGTCCATCCGCCCAGGCCCAGAGTTGCAGAAGCGGTGGCCTTTCCGCTTACGCGGCCTCGCAGAAGCGAGGTTTAAACCGCAGAAGCGGCCCAGGCCCCCTTGGCCTTTTCCGCAAAAGAGGCTCACTTCCGCAGAAGCGGAACCCGCAGAAGCGGGATTCCTGCCGCAGAAGCGGAAATCACTGGGGGCAGAAGGGTTCATTAATACGAACCCAAACTCATTTCTCTCATTTCTCACTACACACTTGGGCAATTTTGGGGGTTTCAAAGAGAGAGTTTCCACATATCATTGCAAGGTAAGTAATTCCCACCCACTTTTAGTTCAAATACATAAACATTAGGTAGATTTAACACTAAAATTAGGTAAAAATCAACAGATTAGAGTTAGACCTAGGGTTTAGTCAAAACTAAGATTTAATCCTATAATTTACCATGAAATGAACTAGAAATCGCATATTTGTGATCCTTAGGTGATAGAGAACAAATTCCTTCGAAAAATATTGGAATCCGGGTATGTGGGCCCGGGGTCGGAAATTAGGAAAACTTGTATTTATGGTTAGGAAATTGCTTAAACAATTAGAATTTAACCTTGTAAGCTCTTATTGACTAGTTCTTGCTTATTTTAATTAGTTGGTGCTTGTTTGGCTACGAATTGAGGGTTTGGGCCTATTCTTGATATCGGAAGTGCACTTCGGAGCGAGGTGAGTCTCCTTTCTAACCTCGTATGAGGGAATTGTCTCGTTAGGATTAATGTTTGAGTGTTTGTTGCTAAATGCGGGGGCTACGCACGCGTTAGGTGACGAGAGCCCATGCGTAGCTACTACTATGATAAATGTCCGGGTAGCTTAGGACCTACAACATGCCTATTAAATATATCTCTTATGTTAAATTGTTGTTATGAACACCTAGCGTGTACTAGAGACTTAAAAGGGGATAGGAGCATACTTGTATAGTTAATTAAGTGCGATTTGGTATTCTTGACCATTTATGTGCCATGTGTGCGAACTTGATATTTCATCCTTATTTGTGGTTCGGGCCGATCGCCTCAGTATGAATAGATACATCTATAGGCGCGCCGTCGACCCTCGGCAAGTGCACAGTTTATTTCTGTTGGATCGGGCCGTCGCCTCGGTATTATGTGCGCATGTTAATTGTGGAAAAGCCTATACATGCTTTATTTTGCCAGTATCTCATATGATAAATTATTAACTTGATGCTGTAATGTTCTTGACTTATACCACTTGCCATAAACTGTTGACACTTGTAAATTCCATGATTTGAATACATCATACTTATATAATATGTATGATGTATATATATATATAGTGAACATGGTAGATGGCAATAAAGTCGATTGAGGAGGATGAGGAAGAGGATGACTCATATTTGGCATAATCGAAGAAGTTGGAACAGATTGTTTTTTCTTCTTAGGTTTCATGTTTCCCTTCCCCTTAGATGCCATATCTGTAATATAATCATAATAAAATACAAAATTGTTACATCTCAATGATGAGTAGCCACACATTATTGCATACAGAAAAAACTAAATAGGAGAAAATTCATATTTTCACAACTTCACTGATATTCTTGGGAGATCATTGATGCAGGGGACTTCAGGAGAATAGGAGAATACTTTATAGTAGCAAATTGTAAAAATGACTTCTATCACTTATGACGAAGTGCAAATCATTTTCTTTTCACATATAACTCTTGATCCATAACTTGCTTCAACCAATACATATACGTACATTCTAGTAAATACTTAATACTTAAAAAGGGAATATCACGAAAAGTCTATCCTATAGGCTATATGTGGTATGATTACTGCCTATAAAATTGCATGTAGTTAAAGAGAAGTTTGAATTCATGCATAGAGTCAATAATATAATAAAGCTGCAATGCATTAACTATTAAATCAATACAACTTTGAGAAGATTTCCAGCAAAGACACCGCATTCATGCTTGCATACTATCAGAACAGAAACAACTTATGTTGTTGGCTAAAGGAAAAGAACGTTAGCAAACCACTCCTGCTACTTTATAACTAAAGGTAAGATAGTATCCTTTTTAAGAACAAGTTGGGAGGGAACTAAAATTAAGTACCTGGAACTGCTACCCTTGAACTGGTAGACATGGAAATCAACTTGCTTACAACATCTCCCACTTGTTGACTAAGCAATGCTTACCTGTAAGTACATATGTAGAAAATTTTACAGTTAGTCAGAAATTAATTACGCATATACTACTTCATCAAGTAAGAATATCAAAGATAATGTTACTCTCCATATAAATTAAGTTCTCCACCCTCAATGTGCTAGAACACAAATCCTTGAAAAAACAACTTATCTCTGTAATCGGTTTCCATATTCGATCAGGCAATGCATTGAACGCAATAGGCATCAACGTTTCCATGAAAATATGACAATCGTGGCTTTTCATTGACGCCAACTTACCTTCTTTCATGTCAACACACCTGGATAAATTTGATGCGTACCCATCAGGCATCCTCAAATTGTTAACCCAACTATAAATCTCTCTTCTCTCATCCAATTTGAACGTGTAACTGGCTTTGGGCTTCTGTATCTTGTTGTTAAAGTATGTCAAATACAACTCACTTCGCCTACAATATTCTTTTAATTCCATCCTGGCCTTCAAGTTATCTTTGGTCTTGTTAGTAACATCCATAATAGTATTAAACAAGTTGTCAAAAAAATTCTTCTCGATATGCATGACGTCCAGATTATGCCGAAGAAGATTGTGCTTCCAATAAGGTAATTCTCAAAATATGCTCCGCTTAGTCCAGTTGTGTGTGACACCATAACCTGGTATCTTAGATGGTGGAGACTCTGTTACTTTAGGCATATCCCTTACTCTGTTCCAAATTTCTTCTGAACACAAGCAGGCCGGTGGCTCCTCAAAATAAGTTTGGTTCTTATAAATGCACTTGTATTTCGCCTAAATTCATGATTCATTGGCAAGAATCTACGGTGGCAGTCGAACCATGTATTTTTACCTCCATGTTTCAAAGTAAATACTTTAGTGTCTTCCATACAACAAGGGCAAGCTAACTTTCCAGCAGTCGACCATCCGGACAACATTCCATAAGCAGAAAAATCATTTATAGTCCACATCAAAGCAACATGCAATCTGAAGTTTTGTTTGGTTGATATATCATATGTTTCCACACCTTGATGCCATAATAACTGTAACTCATCAATCAAAGGCTGCAAGTATACATCAATCAAACTTTTCGGATTGCATGGACCTAGAACAATACAAGTTAGGAACAAATATGGACTTGTCATGCACAACTCTGGCGGAAGATTATATGGAGTAACAAACACCGGCCAACATGAATATGGTGCAGCAGAGACAGCAAATGGAGTAAATCCATCTGTGCATAATCCCAACCTAATATTTCTTGGTTCACTAGCAAATTCGGGGAACACCCTATCAAAATGCTTCCACGCTTCTCCATCTGACGGATGGCAGAGTATACCAGGTGGCCTTCTATGTTCGTAGTGCCATCTCATATGAGGAGCAGAGCTCATTGATGCATACAACCTCTTTAACCTAGGTATAAGAGGTAAGTAATGCATCACTTTAACTGGAACTTTCTTTTTTGTATTGGGATTTGTGACTTCCTTAAAACGAGGCTGATTACAAAATTTACAGTTCTCTAGAGATGCGTCATCCTTATAGAATAACATGCAACCTTTCTCACAACAATCAATTCTCTCTGATGAAAGACCCAACTTAGAAACCAATTTTTTAGCAGTGTAGAAATCTTTTGGTAAGTCAATGTTACTCGGATTAAGTTCATTCATAAGCCCAATAATAGAATCCATGCCCGCTTGGGAAATAGAACTATCCGATTTAATACTTAGCAATCTAACCGCAACAGACAACTTGGAATGCACCGAACCTTCATACAATGGACGACTAGCTTCAAGTAACTGTTCATAGAAACGCTTAGCCTCATCATTTGGTTCGGATTGAACCCCAGGAAACGTCCCAAAAGCATCCCTCATCATTTCATTGTATCGAGAATTTTCAACATTATGCTCCGAAATGGGGCTACCCTCACCACCAAAAGAATTATGAAAGTTAGCATCATCTAAACTAGCATGATTCTCCCCGTGAGCAGTCCATATATAATAATTTTCTACAAACCCTTTCTTGTAGAGATGGACTTTAACTTCGTCTGATTTCAATAACTTAACACATTTACATTTCACACAAGGACACCTAATCCTTCCTCCAATAAGAAAATCATCAAGTGTTTGAGCCTTAGCAATAAATTCAGCAACCCCTTCAATAAATTCATCCCTCAACCCCGCACGATTAGGATGATTCCTATTATACATCCATCTACGATGCACAAATTTCATCTACACAAATAAAAATCTATAAATGAGATATTTAAAATAATTTGATTTATTTAAACTGGTTTACTACATATTCTACATCTATTTTGAGTATGTTTCCTTTATAAATCAAAATATAGGACTCTCTAAACAAAGAATTCTATTAACAAGTTCAACGATGATAATACTCACAGTATTTTGGTATTCAGTTACTTGCAATTATTACTAATATTCTAAATATGGCTTAATTAGTATTCTTAGAAATTTGTAATGTTATTCTTTAATCTGACTTGTAGTTAGTGTTTGTAAGTGAATCAGGTTTGGTCATTGGTCAAATTCAAGTTTTCAAGTTTACATGTGTAAACATTACTTTTGGATTTCAGTGCAAATATAAGAGAACAGACTTTTTTGTTAGGAGATCTAATCAACAAGATTGTTTAAGAGTCAATTCAAGAAGAGCTTAATTTTCATAGAAAATAACTTCCCATCATATCAGACATCCTAAACATGGGTAATAACTTGCAGATGGATGAGGCAGCTCTACTTAGAAGTGTAGTTGAGCACGTTAAAGATTTAAAAGGAAGAGCAAAGGAAATCACCAAGGTAGTCAACACTCCAACTGACATTGATGAAGTAATAATTGAGCATTTAGATGAGGATGAAAATTCCAGCAATAGTATAATTCTCAAGGTTTGTCGATGCTGTGATGATCGACCTGAATTGTTCTCAGAGCTAAACAGGGCACTTAAAAAGCCTCAAACTAACAATTGTGGAGGCTAATATAACTAGTTTGGGTGGCAGAATTAAGTGCGTTTTCGTGCTCAAGGCCGTTAATGGTGTTTGCTTGAGTTCACTTAAACACTCTCTTACTAGAATTGCTATTTCCCCTTCATTATTAATGGAGCTAGAGACCTGAAAAATAAGATAGACAATTTGGTACCATAATATATTTCAATTATGCTACGATTTTACATAATGTGTGTGTATGTATGTGTGTATGCCAGATTTGTGTTCCAATTTTTTATTAAGAGGCGGAAAATAGACAATGTTTGCAATTTTTAGCCAGCGTTTTAGCGTCTTACCCCTACCTCACATATGCTCTTCCCTTTTCCACACACCTAGTAGCTACTACATTTGGAAAAAGAATCTAAATTCTACGCACTAATGGTGCAAAGAACTAAGTCAAAAGTAGAAACATGTTAATTACACTGACGGTGTAAAAAACACAAAAAAATCATTACACTATACAACTTAAATCCTTGAAAAAAGTAGAAATATGTAACTTGCCCAAGTATCATTACTCAATCACTTCACACATGTATGATAATCCCATTTAGACTGGCCCATAACGTTAGATGGACCAAAGTCCAACACTATGCTCACGTTCTGTCTCATTGGAAGCCCATTAGAAAAAGTTGAGAAATTCTAAAAATTGACTCATCAACCGCATCAAATTGTTTATTGTGCGGAATTGTGTAATTATTTCATCTAAAAGTATAGGAAGTTAACTATAGTATATTTTTAAGGGATCTTTACACAAATATACCGTCATATTCATTATTTATTTTTCTAGCTATATACATAATTTATATGTTGATTATATATAATTATAGACATATAATATACTCCATAAATTATGCATATGTTATACCTCTACCAGTTATTTTTAATTTAAGCGGTTAATTGATGACTATTTGAATTAATTTTTTTTAATTACTTAATTATGTCTTTAACAAATTCTCTCTACCTGCTCTAGTACAAGGTTGAATCATGTAATTGTCTTGTTTAAAAGCTTAGTTTGTCAGATAAAGTACACTTATAATTAAGTAATTATAACTTCAACGTTTTGTCCTAAACTTGCAACTTAAATTCATGTCTAAAGAACAACATAAAGATAACCTCAGAAAAATCATTAATTTTGGCTCCAAAATTCGTTAGCTCTATTTTACTTATTTCCCCTCCTTTTGGCTATACCAGGCTACTGCTTGACACCCATAATTTGAATTAGGGGTGTTTAAATCGAACTAGAAAATCACACTATACATGTTAATTACACTGACGGTGTAAAAAAAAATCATTACACTATACAACTTAAATCCTTGGAAAAAGTAGAAAACCACAACAGAACCAGCAATTGTAAGCACACGATTAAAGTCCACAAGCCCAGAAAAAATACATGTATAGTCTATTTAAACTTAAGGTCACAAATAAAATCAGTGCTGCAATGATCTAGGACTTGACAAAGAACAGAAATCGAAATAAGAAAGAGAGCAAAAACCTTCAGATCATAGCACGTAAGCGTAAATAGGAAAGATTTGTGTTCCAATTTTTTATTAAGAGGCGGAAAATAAACAATGTTTGCAATTTTTAGTCAAAGTTTTGGGTGGGGGAAACGTACCTAGCACGATGGATTTGCAGCGGCGTCGGCGGCATGAGCTGCTCGTTGATGGAAGCGGCAGGTTTAGGTTTCGGGGGAGGTTTAAGTGAGAGAGAGAAGAGAGAAGGAAGAAAAGGGGAAAAGGAAAAGAAAAGGAAGTCGCTGGGTTTTTTAAAAAACTCTCCGACTGATTCGGTCGGCAATTTGGTCAAAAGTAGTCAACCTCCTTTTACTAAACATTTCCGACCGAATCTGTCGCTATTTTTTTTTTAATTTCTTTTTTTATAATCGTTTTCGATCGAATTGGGCGCTAAAAATTGGCGGAATTTTCTGCCAAAATTTACGACGGACATAGACGGAATATTAGTCGCAAGTATTATTAAAAATCAAAAAATATATTTTTATGAATATTCCGACCGATTCCGTCGGAAATTTCCGACTACTTTTTTCCGTCGGAAATTTCGGTCGGAAATTGGCCGTTTTTTAGTAGTGACTCCCTTCTTGCCGACCCGCAGCCGAAGAAGTCTTCCTTGTTTTTTTTTTGTTGTTGTTTCTGTCTATCCTGATTTAGACAGTAGGATAGGGCATTATTCATTTTGTGTATATTCTACTAGTTGCCCGTAGCTTGTGACACCAGGTTTTGACACACACAGTAGTAGACGTTATTTTGGGTTGTATAACTATCGTTACATTTTATTGATCTTTACTGGTTCATGACTTTAATTGGGGGAAAAATCTATTATAATGGTTTTTGGTAAGGGTAAAATGAGAATTTAATTATACTTCCGCGTTGGCTGGCCTGACAAATGGGGTCGGGCGCCATCATGACCTATTATGAAAAATGGGTCGTGATAACATGGTATCAGAGCACTAGGTTCACGTAGGTCTCACAAGTTATGGGCAAACCTAATAGAGTCTTGTAGATCGGTACGGAGACGTCTGTATTTATCTTCGAGGGGCTATAGGGTGTTAGGAAAGACTACTCTTTATTCATTTTCCATCGTGCAGTTGGTGAGGACTCGTACCGCCGACGTTCCGGACCCGGGAGGAGCTGCTCCCCCCATTGCCAGAGGCCGAGGCAGAGGCCGGGGGAGGGCACCGGCCCGCGGTAGGGGGCGAGGGCGTCCTAGAGCTATTCCAGTTGCACCACCAGCAGACCCTGCGAGGGATCCCACTACTGAGGAGCAGGGCGAGGCGCCCGCAGCTATGCCTACTCTCGCAGCTGTGCCTACTCCGGTTCATGGACACCATGACTCAGGCTGGTTTATTTCCAGCAGACCCAGCTGTTTCGCAGGCAGGAGGGGGAGCACAGACCCCTACTGCTCAGGCTCCAGGTCATGCAGCCGCGGTATATCAGACTCCGGGTGCACCACCCGTAGAGGGGGTTCAGCCAGTTGCAGCAGAGGTACCCCAGCCTAGGCCAGTTGTGGGTTCGATCCGCAGAAGTTACTAGACAGATGGACCAGACTTCACCCTCCAGTCTTCGGAGGTGAGCGTCATGAGGACGCTCAGGATTTCATCGACAGGTGCAGGGACAGACTGCACGCCATGAGGATATTAGAGTCGCATGGAGTCGACTTTACTACTTTTCAGCTTGAGGGCAGGGTCCGTAGATGGTGGCAGTCCTATGTTCTTGGTAGGCCCGCCGGTTCTCCTCCCATCACTTGGGGTCAGTTCGTACAATTGTTCCTGGACAGGTATATTTCGCCCTCTGAGAGGGAAGAGCTGCGGTATCAGTTTGAGCACCTTGAGCAGGGTCAGATATATGTGACCGACTACGAGGCGAGGTTTTCTGAGTTATCTCAACATACACTTATGATACTTCCTACAGATGCAGAGAGAGTGCGGAGGTTTGTCGCTGGATTGCAGCCCAATATTCGATCGGGTATGGCCCGAGAGGTGGAGATGGGTACAGAGTACCAGCTTGTGGTCGAGATTGCTCGCCGGATTGAGGGATATCGTCAGAGGGGTAGGGAGCAGATACAGCAGGACAAGAGAGCCAAATTCTTTGGAGAGTTCAGAGGTGCCCCAGCTAGGGGCAGAGGTCAGTATGGGAGGGGTCAGCCCAGTAGGCCCCCATCTTCAGCACCACCACCTCCCGCCCGGGGTGCTCCAGCACGCCCCTATTTCAGTGCCATGCCAGAGAGTTCCTACCGCCCGCCAACTATTCAGGGTTCTTCCCGTGGGTATTCAAGTCCTCAGAGTTCTTCTGGTCCCTACTTTAGTGCTATGCCGGAGACTTCATATCGCCCACCGGCTATCCAGGCTCCTCCCACGGGGTGTACGAGTCATCAAGGACAGTCATCAGGGCAGCAGGTTGCCGCACCACATTGTTTTGAGTGCGGTGACCCAGGCCACATGAGGAGATACTGCCCCAGGCTTAGGGGCAAGGCAGTACAGTAGGGGCAGCAGCCCATGACTCCAGCACCAGCGGCCCAGCCACCTAGAGGTGGAGGGTAGAGTGGTAGAGGCCGATCCAGAGGTGGAGGCCAGACAGGGAGAGGGCAGCCAGCTACTCCTCAGTCAGGTGGAGGCCAGATGGCCGGTGCTCTAGCTAGATTCTATGCCCTTCCAGCTAGGCCGGATGCATTGGCCTCAGATGCCGTCATCACAGGTATTATCTCCATCAACGGTAGAGATGCATCAG